CGCCTTCTCCATACTCCCAGCCCACGCACACCAACTTCCATCCAGTAGACCCGTACCCAGTCCTTGGAACGTAAATGCAAGTAACAAAAGACCGAAACTAGGATGCGTCGCCGCAGTCGCCGTAGCCAAGATCTGCAGTAGCGGACCAGCTACTGCAATTCCCCTTTGCCCGAAGCGGTAATGGACGGTATCGCTGCACTGTGCTGCGATGACGTAGCCGATGGGACTGACGAGGAAGATGGATGAGACTTGCAGGTCTGTGAGGTTATAGTGGCGCGAGAGGAGGGGGAGGACGGCGCCGATGGAGGAGTTGAAGAGGCCGAGTGTGACGAAAGAGTACATGGCTGCTGCGATCTTGAGAACGAGCCGCTTGTCCATGGTACTGTCGTTTGCATTTTCGGTTTCTTCCGAGTGACCAGTGGGTCTGGTGACGACGATGAGAGGAGAGGTCTCGTTGTCGGCGGGTTGATGGGCCATTTTGTTGCTTACGTTGCGCGTTTGGGACGCGTTAGGTGGGAGGAGAGGAGGCTAGTGTTAGCTTATCACGAGGTCATTCTTTGTGCAATGCGGATGGGAGTAGTCTTGAGGTGAGTGTTAACTCGAGATAGATGGTATGTTGTTTGATAGTTACTTTTGATGGAAAATGCGGTCGTTGTACGGCGCTACAATCAGGTAAGCGCCGCCGAGCGCCAGCCAATGACATCATCAGCAAGTCGCGTCCTGCGATGTTCTCGTCTGCACGCAGAAGAGCCCGGCCTCGTACGTGTGTCGAAGTGAATATCCCCAGTATGTAGCTCCCTGGTACCAATAGGTTCAAGGCGGCTTGTTGGCTATGTCGGCATCGGCTAGGTGCAGGCTTGCCAGATCGCATGTATGTGTACCTAGGTACCTGCGCAAGCGCAACTACTATCATATCGGGCCGGCGTTGCAAGTGTCATATCGACGAGTGCGCCAGTTTGAGCTGTATGCGCTGCTCTTGAAAGGTGGCTGTCGGGTGCTGAGACGACTCAATCCTCGTCGTCTGATGATGCATATCCCAGGCCGAGCGAAAGTGTGTTTCCCGGTTTGGATGTCGATTGCCCTGCTGGTGGCTTGGTTGTGTTTACGGACGTTGTCGCAGGACTCTTCGAGCCGTTGGCACTCGTTGTGGTAAATGACACGTTTGTCTTGACGCTCTCAGACTGCGCGTTCGCTTTTCCTTCGTCCACAGATTTCTTCTCTTCGGGTACGGAACTCGACTTCCTCAGCTTCACACCCTTCAACAGACCACCTTCAGTTCCCTTCTTCCTTTTCCGCCCAACTGCTGCCCATTGCGGAGCATCCTCATCTTTGGGCGCCTCTGAACTCTCTTCTTCAAGACCTTTCGCCTTCCTCTCGGCTTCTTCCCTTTGCCTGCGGAATAGATCCAGTTGTTCGAAAGTCTCCTTCTTTACATTGAGCTCCTCCTGACGCTTCTTTTCCAAGACGGAATCCAGGTAATCGGCTTCCTCATCGTCTAGAGCGACATGCAGCTTGTAACGCGCCTTTTCCTCAAATTCGGCCTGTTTCTTGTCTTTGTTGGCTTGCAGAACTTCGAAAAGGCTCTTTCCATCCTGTTGTTTCGCTAAGTCGGCTTTGGCGCGCCGGGCATCCTCAATCTCTTGCTGGGCCTTTTTCCATTCGTCATCGCGCTCGACTTCTTCACCCGCTTTGCCGCCACTGACGAATCCTGAAGACATTGCGGTCCACACTTATACGGCTAGCGCAGGATGCTGAGGGCGGTGCAGTGGATGCAGGAGTTGAACGGCAGAAAGGCAAAGAAGTAGAAACTGTTCCGGCTTCCTCATGGGCACTAGCGACAGGTGGATCGTTCTCCACACCCCACCAGTTTAACCTCACCCGCGGGCAAATCGCGACGTGATACGTGGAGGTTTTATGCCGGTGCTTAAAGTTGCTCGGTGGAGATAGCGATGCAATGGGTGAATGTTGGCCCTGACGTAGGAGGGGTACACAACGCGTCGGCTGTGCCCCTCGCTCAGCTCACCATTCAAAAGTTTGCGCCTCCTGCCACTTTCCCATCCTCCTACATCCCAAACTTTTATCTTTCAATTTATGATTCGTACTCTAGCAAGAATGGCACCCAAGAACTGGACTAAGGAGCACTTCACGCTCAACACTGGCGCAAAGATCCCCGCTGTCGGTCTCGGCACATGGCAATCAAAGCCTGGTGAGGTTCGTGAGGCCGTCAAGGCTGCTCTCGAGGGAGGATACCGCCACATTGACACCGCGCTTGCCTATGGCAACGAGAAGGAGGTCGGCCAGGGTATCAAGGACTCTGGTGTTCCCCGTGAGCAGATTTGGGTTACTACCAAGCTTGACAACCCATGGCACAAGCGCGTCGAAGAGGGCATCAACACCTCTCTGAAGGACCTTGGTCTCGACTACGTTGACCTTTACCTCATGGTATGTGTGTGGAGCTCTGATCTCTCACAAGACGAGATACTTACGAACCTCCCAGCACTGGCCCTCATCGACCGACCCCGATGACCTCAAGAAGCACTACCCCGACTGGGACTTCAAGGACACCTGGGCCGAGATGCAGAAGCTCCCTGAGTCTGGCCGCGTGAAGAACATTGGTGTCTCCAACTTCGCCATCCAGAACCTCGAGAAGCTGTTCGCCGACTCGCGCACCAAGATCACACCCGCCGTCAACCAGATCGAGCTCCACCCCAACAACCCTTCGTAAGTCAACTACAAATAGCTTACCCATGCGCACATCAATTAACAGTGACGCCAGACCCAAGCTCCTCGACTACCTCAAGGAAAAGGGCATCCACGCCACCGCCTACTCCTGCCTCGGCTCAACCGACTCTCCCCTTTACAAGAACGAGAAGCTCAAGAAGCTCGCCGACAGCAAGGGCAAGTCCGTTCAACAGGTCCTGCTCATGTGGGGTCTCCAGCGCGGCTCCAGCGTCATCCCCAAGTCTGTCACAGCGTCCCGCATCATGGGTAACTTCCAGCTTGATGGCTGGGAGCTGACCGACGAGGAGATGAAGGAGATCAACGCGCTGCCTGAGCGCTTCAAGGTCTGCGGTGACTCTTGGCTGCCGGTCAAGGTCTTCTTTGGCGATGACGAGTAGGTCTTTTGAGAAGACCGATGGCTTTACGTACAATGATACCATGAATGAACAAATCGATGACAACATATGATCTTGAGCTGCCCAGTGCGTGGTGCGTGTGTGATGCTGCGGAGCAAAGTCGGGAATGAGCGTTGGAGCCTGTTCCGGGGTTGCGTGGCGATTCGTCATGTGATCTCGCGTTTTGGCGCTTGCGAGACGCGCCTGATCTAGATTCCCGCTCGCCACTCATCCTTCCCTTCTGCACAGCACATTCACAAATCCCATACAACCACCTTTCCATAAAATCTACCGTCTTTAATCCGTCAAGATGAGCGCCGAAGAAGAGCAATTCGAGGACAGCACCATGGGTGGCCCCGGAGCCCCCACTCCCGTGTCTGCGCTTGAGGTAGGCTTTCACGGTCTTTGGGCGCGCGACAGACACTGACAAGACCTCAGGGAGTCAATGGGTTGACTGCACGCGACATCAAGTTGATTGTCGAGGGCGGCTTCAACACCGTAGAGTCGATTGCCTACACGTATGTAGACCATTGAACAGAAATTGGCCCCGCCACTGACGCCAGGCAGACCACGGCGAGCACTCGAACAAATAAAGGGCATTTCGGAACAGAAGGCTTCGAAATTGCTTGCAGAGGGTATGTGGAAATGATGCGGCTCTATCGCCTGTCGCTTACATTAATAGCATCCAAACTCGTCCCTATGGGCTTCACCACGGCGACCGAGATGCACTCCCGCCGCAGCGAATTGATCTCCATTACGACCGGCTCAAAACAACTGGACACACTTCTGGCAGGAGGTATCGAAACAGGCTCCATAACGGAGATATTCGGAGAGTTCCGAACGGGAAAGAGTCAGATCTGTCATACCCTAGCCGTTACCTGCCAGCTGCCGTTTGACATGGGAGGTGGTGAGGGCAAATGCTTGTACATCGACACTGAGGGTACCTTCCGTCCAGTCCGATGTCTGGCCGTCGCGAATCGATTCGGACTCTCAGGCGAAGAAGTTCTGGACAACGTCGCTTACGCGCGCGCATACAACTCGGATCATCAGTTGGAGCTGCTCAACCAGGCTGCACAGATGATGACGGAGACACGGTTCTCGCTGCTTGTTGTCGATTCCGCCACCGCACTATACCGTACAGATTTCGCTGGACGTGGAGAGCTCTCTGCCAGACAAACGCATTTGGCCAAGTTTATGCGTACGCTGCAACGGCTTGCGGACGAGTTTGGTATCGCCGTTGTAATCACGAATCAAGTCGTCGCGCAAGTGGACGGTGGACCAAGTGCCATGTTCAATCCCGACCCCAAGAAGCCTATCGGAGGTAACATCATTGCACACGCAAGTACGACTCGTCTCAGTCTGAGAAAGGGCAGGGGAGAGACGCGTGTGTGCAAGATCTACGACAGTCCATGCCTGCCCGAGAGCGATTGCTTGTTTGCCATTAACGAAGACGGTATTGGCGACCCCAAGGAGAAAGACCTGGAGGAGAGGAACAACAGGTGATGAGGGAGATGAGGTGCGAAGCGCCATGGAGCCGTGGCGATCTAGAGCTTTTGGTTTTACACGATTTACGTTTATGCAGCCGTATGATATCCTAATACATTACCTGAATGAATGCGCATTTTGTCCATCAGTACTGTCTGGCCTATCTTGGGATTGAATGGCCATAGTATGTGGGGAGTGAGATAAGTGGGCTGCGTTCAGGGTAGGCTGCGGTGATGGACAAAGCGTCCGTGCACCAGCCAGCTTCGCGCATCCATCGTCGCGCAACGATTGTTTTCGTGAGCTTCACCTCCGCGCGACCGCCGCAACTCGACCCCGAACGCGCGCCATAACCTCTCAGCCCCCGCAACGACAGCCGAACCCCCTTCGCATGCGAGCACCATGGTCCAACATGGAGGCACGTGTCTCTACAAAGAGGCGCGCTTGAACATTGAGCCCGCCTACCCTGGCTCGACCATCGCATTTTCGATCCCGTCGCATTCTCCCTTCAGCACACGATCCAGCGTAAAGCGCAGTGTAATCACAGAGTCATATGCGGACAAGGACGAGGAAGACTTCACAAGGCGCCATCTAGCTACAGATGGGTCCATGTACTTTCGGCAGCACCATGCCTACCCGCGCAGCTTCCTCTGGCGGGTGCTGGACAACAGGAAGATGCTCGAGATCCAGGCGACCGACTTCGATCACGACTACACCGACAAGTTCGAAGCAAACCTGACGCTCCTGTTCCAATTCCCCGCCCCAATCCGCCCCTTCTGCGTCGCTTTCGCTGAGCCCGCCGACCGCGATGCATTGACCGTCTTTGCAATCACCACGGGCAACGAGCTCTACACGATCACCCTGCACCGCGACTTCTTCGCCAACCCCGCAGCCTCGGAGCAGGACTCGGAGACGTGGTGCAAGAGGTTCGAGCCGGCGCTCTTCAGCGGGCGCATACCCTACCGATTGGCCGCCGCGAGCGCAGACGAACTGCTAGTCACACTCGACGACGGGGCCATCTGTCGCTTGATCTGGGACAAGGCCAACAACACCTGGGACGGATCGCGGTACCAGCAGAGCAATTGGTCGGTGCGCGGTCTCCTGTCGTGGAAAGCGCAGCCCACCGTTCGCTTCGAGAACGCGGACTTTGCTGTATCAGCCGCGGCTGCCGTCGCGATATCACCAGACAGCAAACACATCCTCTCAGTATGCCTGGACCACTCGATCAGAGCGTGGAACATTGCGTCAGGCAAGCCAGGCGCGCACATCGACCTCTTGGGTGCCGACGACTTCGCCATGGAGAAGTCCCATGGCTCATACTCCATTGGACCTTCGCAGTCGATGCTGATGGCTGTTGTGAACATCCCAGGCGGGGTGGGAGGCGCACTATACCACGTCGTTACGTACTCGCCAAAGCAGCATCAGTTCAAGTTCTGGGGCGTAAGGGATGCAGACGACCAAGAACACGGATTCTACGACGCTGCGCAAGACTCGGACCTCATTCCGCCGATCGACGAACTTATGAACACGACTGTATGGACGCTGGAGGAGTTTCACATCATTCCAGGGCCTAACACCTGGAGGGGCTCAGAGATCTGGATACGCGCCAGGTCAGGTCCAAGTAGCAAAGTGTACTCCCTCAAATTCGATCTCACCGACTACGCCGAACAACGAACACAAACGTGGAAGAATGATTGGGTGTCTGTGGATTCGGGTCCTCTGACCGTCGAGGCACTGAAGGTCAACCCCGCGAACCCAAGCGAGCGGGAGTTGGAACCGGAACAGGATCTCTCTAATGAATGGTACGAGTTTCTGTTCTACCCAGGCCGATTCTCGATCGCGACATTAGAAACCGCGTTACGCATATACAGAAGAGGCTTGGAGGGGATACGGCACCGGTCAAATCGAGTTCACAAAGGGTCACTAAAAGAACGTCTGGTTGCCACGCTTGTCGCCCTTGCCATTGAACGCGGTCATGGCGAAGACTTCAGCAAAGACCTAACAGCGGAGTGGCAGGCATACTACGGCTTGGTGAAAGACTTGCACAAGCGGAGGGGAGAATCGTTGTCACTCAGTTACGACCGGGCTACTGACAGGCCGTGGCTAGTGTTGAGCGACCACATCTCTGCGATTAGGAACTGCAGCGAGTCGGAAGTAACTACTCTGAACGCAGCAGTCATCTCAGGATCGCGTACCCTGAGCAAACCTCTACGGCAAACTCTGGATACATCGGAATCTCGCGACGTGGCACGCCTACTGAATGCCGCAGCTTCCTTCCGCCAACGACTACCGTACTTTGTCCAGCAAAAGGTCCAACGCCACATGGAAATGGACCTACTTCAGAGCCGGAACATCACGATTTTGGATCGCATGGAGTGGATCGAAGGCAACAGCGAGCTTTCTCAGCATGTGACCGATGAGGACGTAACCACTCTAGTTGAAGAGCTCGGCATGGAAGTCAAGGACCTGGGTACCGAGACTTTCCTCCGCACCATCAGGAAACTGGACTACGAGCATGACGGCAGGCCGCAGTCGAGAAAGCAAATTGCACGATACGGGCTGAATGCGTTGTCGTGCGTTTCCAAGGAGACCTTGGAGAACGACCACAATGCTTTGCTTGATCTGCTTGTCCTGCTGCTGTTCATGTTCATTGAGCTAGAGGGCGAGACACATGAGGAGTGGGATGCGTCTGAGGTGTTTGCCGAGCTTCTACTGCGGTATAAGGACTGCATGGTCGTTTCTTGGTTGGCCCGTACAGTGTGGTCTCACCAGACTGGAACAGGCTTAGCATCCGACAATCTCAACCGCATGTTGAGCGAGACATACAAGACTGGTATGAAGCTACCCATCACCCAGACAGTCCTCGAGGGAATCTACGGAAGTCGTGCCTTTGAGGTGCCACTACCAAAAGACCCGAAGGCGGGTCTACTTACCCACTGGAGTCGCGGCTGGTTGTCATTCATATTCGAAGAACACGACTTTGAAAACGCTGTAGAGGATATGATGGGGATACTTTTGTATCAGCAAGAGTACGAACTTGCTAAGGACTTTTCCAAGTTCCTCACGGAAGGCCACTGGGCGTCATATCTGAAGGGACGACTGTACCTTGCACTAGGCAACAAAGAGCTTGCTTCTGTGTGCTTCCAGAAGCCTGCATACTATCTGGGTAAGTCTTGGACATGCGATTTTGCCACGAAGATACTAATTTCTGTAGCTCTCGGTCCTATGTTCGACGTGGCGGAAGAAGACAAAGCAAACCTCATATCCGAAGTGGAGCGAAACTCGTTCTCCGAAGGCCTGGCGCACTATTACAGTCATGTCATTGGTCTGTTCGAGAAGGCCAAAGCATACTCCTACGTTGCCGACTTTGCGAAGCTGGGGCTGCGATCTTTGATGGGTCAGGAAGACGTGGAGTTGAAGACGGACCTGCTCCAACGGCTGTTCACCGCTTCGATACAAACATCCAGATTCAACGATGCATACGGTGCGCTGATCAGGCATCGGGACACGGCCTTGTAAGTCGAAGAACTGCTTCCACACAACCCCGTATACTGACTATTTTCCAGGAAGCTTTCCGACCTGCAGACGCTCATCACATCCATGGTAGCCCAATCGCAGACTACGGAGCTTCTCAAGTTCCCCTTCGTCGGACTAACAGATTCGGTGGACAACATCCTCACATCCCTCTGCCAAAAGACACTCAACATCGCATCCGGACCGCCCTACCACCAGATACTCTACTCCTTCCGCATCTCCCGCAACAACTTCCGCGGCGCCGCATCGATTCTCCACGAGCGCCTCCGGCGCCTCAAGACAACATCAACCAAGATCCACGACCCAGCCGACGAGTCCCTCACACAGTGCTACCTCATGATCATCAACACCTTATCATCAGTCAGCAAAGAAGACGCCTACATCCTAGCCGAGCAGCGCATTGAAGCGACCGGAGGCCCGCCGCAGTGGGGCATCGGCCAGGGAAAGAAGCTACTTAGACGGCAGATCATCACCCTGGATACCCTGAGGAAGGAGTATCAGGCGGAGCTGGACAGGATCGCGGCGATTGAGAGTGGTCAGTTTCCTTTTGTGGATCCGGTGGATGATATGGATATCTTGTAGGGCTTGGTTGTTATAGCGCGGCGTTCTTTGGTGGCTTTGCGGGATTGAGAAAGGGATGGATGGGGGGTTATGTAGATTTTGCATCTGGCTGGGTCCGAATTGGATCGTGGAGTGGCTGGACGTTATTATGAGAATCCAGATTTTGAACAAATGATGGCTGTGTTGATTGCGTTCGTGAATTGGCAGTGTTTGTCCTGTGATTGATGAAGAAGGTTATGATGAAGACAGTGATCAGGTGAGGGTGAGATGCGATGACGCGCTAGAACGCGTGCAGATGCGGGACGGCGCGAAACCTCCAGGTAGGTGCGTTGCAGCCGCTCGAAGACAGCAGCCATCAACCGCCCCTTCAGATCCTCACGCCTCGACCATGGCGCAATAATTTCTCGTCCTCATCCTAATTACCTCAACGACGACTACAACAATCCTAAACAACCCCCGCACCCATGGTACGCACCCGCTCTCTCTTCCCCAACCCGCGCGCCCCCCCAACTAACCCAAACACTCAGAACTCCAAATCCCTCCGCCGCCTCGCCGCAGACCACGGCTCCCTCCACACCGCCGGCCTTCCCCCAAACTATCTATTCCCGCCCGGCTCCGACGACTCGTCAGACCTCACATCCCTGGACATCCTGCTCGCCGGCCCCGTCGGCACACCCTACGCAGCCGGCGTATGGCGCCTCCACCTCGACATCCCACCCACCTACCCCACCGCACCGCCCACAGCGCAGTTCCGCACACGACTATGGCATCCGAATATTGATGAGGCGACGGGGGCGGTGTGTGTGGAGACGCTGAAAAGGGACTGGAGGAGCGAGTTGAAGTTACGGGATGTCCTAGTTACGATATCTTGTTTGTTGATTCAGCCGAATCCGGCGAGTGCGCTGAATGAAGCGGCGGGGAAACTGGCCACGGAGGACTGGGACGGGTATTGTAGGAGAGCGAGGCTTATGACGGATATTCATGCTAGTGTGCCGAGGGAGATTGAGGGGAGTGTTAGGGAGGCGCAGATGAGGGGGGAGGAGAAGACTACGGAACTAGACCAACCCATCGCGAAACCACATTCAAAAGGGAAGGAGACAGAGCGGGTTAAAGTTACGCCGTCAGGACCCAAACTCACGCGCATGAAGAGTGAGGATGAGGAGAACACGAGGAGCAGGAGGGGTGGGACTCAAGATGCAGAGAGTGGGACTGAGGACGATGCTGTGACTGGGCGGAGGGATGGGATGAGGAGGAGCAAGGTGCCCGAGTCAAGGAGACAGGGTAATATCTTTGGGATTAAGGGACTGGGCGATGGAATGCAGCTTGACTCCCCACCGCCGAAACGCATCTTTGCTGTGCCGGGGGGAAGTACACCGCCTGTTTCTACGCCGAACGAGAACGGGAAAGAGAGTGGGAGTGGGGATGGAGAGGGAGAGGATAAGGATCCGTTTACGACCGTGACGTCGAAACGGAACACCCACACCGATCCTTCTACTGCGACAGGAGGAACAACAACAGCAACACAACCCGACACCGAAACTCCCGACCTCCTCAAATTCTCAACACAAAACCCCTTCGCCGCCATCCAACCCAACAACCAAACTCATCCTCTCTTCAGAGAGTTTTCGTTTAGTTGGGAGGATGCTATGGTGGTGCATGACGCCGGGGTTGGCATGGCTGGTTCGGTTGGTAAGAGTGGCAGTGGTGGTGTCAGTGGGGTTAGTAAAGCAGATGTGCGCAAGAGACACGCGACGGAGGAGTTTGAGAAGAAGGAAAGGTGGGAGATGAAGAGGTTTAAGAGGGCCGGGGGTGATTTGAAGAGGTTTAATCGGGGGGATTGGGGGGTTAGGATGGGGGTTGGACGACTTTGATGGGGGAGGATGGGGAGGGGAGGGAGAGAGAGAGGTGTGGGATGGAGGGATGGTGGGAACTGGGGAAAGCGGTGAGAGGTGGTTTGCATAGCGATATGGCGTTTTGGTTCATGATGGATAATGAGAGCTCACGGCGGTTGCGATTGTTGATAAAGATGGGATGGTAGTAAGGTGGTAGTGCGTATACCCTATGAATTACAACCCTACGATTCGCGAGGTAATCTTCGCGACTTCGGGTTCTCGAGTTTGGTGATGATGATCATCATCAACCATCGTTGTGGTACATGGCCAACGCTGACCATTTCTCAGATGTCTCAAACGCGCACAAAGTATATTGAAGGCTTGCCAACACCGAAGTCCAGACATACTTTTCATCCGTGTCTTTTTCGAATCATCATGAATCAGATCTCCATCTTCGGGTGCATTTGCTGTTTTGGTGTACAAGAGAAGGAAGGAAGGAAGGAAGGAAGGAAGGAAGAAGACCATAGCGTGGATCTTCGCGGTTTTTATATCCCATGGTCATGTCTCTTCCTGATCCCTTGTCCATGACCGATGTTGCGTCATTGTTTCGATATTGCAACACAGCACCCACACAGACAATCATTTACAGCCTGTATCCTTCTTTCTTGACCCCATGCTTCTTCCTCTAGCTTTTTGGAGATCGGTGCTCGCATGTCAAGCTCTAGCTCGCTGTTTTTGATTCCGAGAAGAGGAAGAGAGGCAGAAACCGAACACATACGAACTGATGAGCGTAGTTTAGGAAGGAGCCGCCGTCTCCATGTTGGCTGATTTGATAGCTTTTGGAGAAAGAAGTGGAAAGTGGTGGATAATGAGGAAGGAAGAAGACGTGTCGAGGGAGGGTTTTATAGTTGAGCGAGGACGAGGGCGCTCACACATATTACTTGGTAATCTGGCTTTTTGGTAAAATGCGGATCTTTTGATAAAGGTTTGGTATTGTTGGTGTGGCTCGCCGAGAAGGCCGGAACACATGCGCACTATCTCTTGGGCTTTGGAAGAGAGGCACGATCTCCATGTTCATCGGGAGTAGTGTCTTTTAGAGAAAGAGGAGGAAGATGGAGGATGGAGGAAGAGTAGTTTTGCAACCGCAGAGGGGCTTTTATATGCCGATGCAGAAGAGGCGACATACATAGTACATATCCCCCATCATTTCTGGTGAACGCAAGCTCGTCGCGGTGGCTGGACGAGGAGGGCAGAACATGGATGGGTTTTCATCTGGTTTTGGAGAGAAGAGACAATCTCCATCGAAGATAGTCTCCAGTGTTTTAGAATAAAGAGGAAGAAGTAGTGTGTTGAAGGAAGAGTACTCCAGTCGCGAGCAGAAGGTTTTATAGTCGAGCCTCGCGAGGTTCGTGGTCTTGTTCTGCTGGTAGACTTTCTTTTCGTGCGCTCATGGTGCTCCTGGACGAGAAATGCTGATCATGCCAATGAGTAGCGTCGATTTGGGAGAGCAGACTCATGAAGTGCATCTGGATGCAATTTGAGAAAAGGAGGCACAGTCTCCATTCGACATCAATGTAGAGATTTTGGAAGAAGAGGCAAAGTCCTGCTCTCATCGCAGGCCATGGTGTACTTTTTGGAAGAAGAGGCACAAACACCATCGCATCGACAGTTCGGCATTTTGGTAAATAGAATAGAAGTGTGGATGTAGAGAAGAAGAGAGGAGCCGTCGCAGAGGGAGGCTTTATAGCTGGACGTCGCACGGGCGGCACGCAGACATTGCTTCGTCATGCCTGGTTTTCTGGTGTTTAGATAATCTGTCCGCGGGAGAAAGACACCGTCATTCGTCGATGCCGAACGTGTTTTTGAGAACGCGAGGAAAAAGAGGCGAACACATCGGTGCCTTGGTAGTAGATTTTGAGACGCAGATTCACAGCGCCATGGCGAAAACAGTCTCTAGTTTTGAAGAAGGCAGATAGATGCTTCATGTAGAAGAGAGCGAGGCGCAGGCACACAGCCCCATGTACATATACTTGGTTGGTTTTTGGAAAGAGGGATAGAGATGTTGGATGAAGAAGGAAGAGAGACACAGCAATCGAAGGAAGCGTTTTATAGACGAGCCAAGAAGACGCTACTCACATGCTTCCTATCTGTACGTGTTTCCGTACGCGCACGCTGTTTTTCCGTCGCACGACGGCGCTTTCATTCCTTAATCCATTCATGCTTTTGACAGCGCAGAGAAGAGGCGAACACATGTCACCGTTCGTTGTACCGTTTTGAGACAGAAAGATGACTGCTGCCACCATAAGTTTGCACATAGCATTGGGAATGGAAAGTTAAATGTTGGGTGTCAGGCCGGAGGCCTCTTTCATAACCGCTACCCTCTCAAATTTGAAACCGCCGCACGCAAAGATGAAGACTTGCGCGTTTCGCAGCGACCGCCACAGATTCTGTTCTTTTGTTCGACTCCGAACAGCCGCTTGGGATTTTGTGGGCTATCTTCTGCTGTGAAGCATTTTCTCGAGGTTTTTGAGTTCAGAGAGCAGGAGAGAACATGCAGGAACTGCTCATATGCTTTGAGAAAAACAGGCAGACTTCTCCATCAAGTATCCAAGTCTCATTTTTGAAGACTAGAGAAAGAAGCGAGGAGTGTCTGGGGATGAAAGACTGTGCAGAGAGGAAGTATTTATACATCGAGCGACTAAGATGATCACAAGTCGGAGCTGGAGCTGGTCATGAGTTTGGGGATGCAATCTTTCAGCAGGAGGTCGACGCTGAAGGGCGAGCTCCCATCAAATCAATTTGCTCGAGTTTTGAAACCGCGAAAGAAGGAGCAAGGAGCCGACCATGAGATGTGCGGAAAGTAGTTTCGTGGAAGAGCAGCTCTTTCCATGGTAAATGTGCGTAGATCTTTTGGTGTCGCAAAGTGCGATAATGGATATAGGAGGGAAGAGCTCGCAATGCGGTAGGTTTATATATCAAAGTCATGCAGACATATGGCCCGGGGAGTTTGGAGGGTCGCGAGCGGGTGAAGAGCACAGAAGGCCAGCCACCTCTTGTCATGTGCTGTTTCAAGAACGCTTTTGAGAAGCGGGCAGACTGCAAAGACACATCAGTCGTAATCGCATAGCTTTCGAAAAAGCCGGCGAAGGCGGAGGCTCTCATTTGCGAAGTGTCTTGTTGTTTAGGTAA